TGCCTTTAGCGGAGTTTGCCTACAACAACAGCTACCAGTCGAGCATCCAGATGGCTCCTTATGAGGCTTTATATGGTAGGCGGTATCGATCTCCGATTGGGTGGTTTGAGCGGGGAGAGGTTCGGTTGATAGGTACGGATTTGGTTCAGGAGGCCTTGGATAAGGTCAAGATCATTCAGGAGAGGCTTCGTTCAGCTCAGTCCAGGCAAAAGAGTTATGCAGATCATAAGGTTCGAGATGTAGCTTTCATGGTTGGAGAGCGGGTATGGCTCCGAGTGTCGCCTATGAAGGGCGTGATGAGATTTGGGAAGAAGGGCAAGCTTAGCCCTAGGTACATTGGTCCGTTTGAGGTTCTTGATCGAGTGGGAGAGGTGGCTTATAGACTTGCATTGCCACCCAGCTTATCAACCGTGCATCCAGTTTTCCATGTGTCCATGCTTCGGAGGTATCACGACGATCCTACCCATGTGTTAGGCTTCAGCACTGTCCAGTTGGACAAGGACTTGTCCTACGAGGAGGAGCCGGTAGCTATTCTAGACCGGCAGGTCCGTCAGCTGAGATCCAGGAGTTTTCCTTCTGTTCGTGTTCAGTGGAGAGGTCAGCCCCCTGAGGCATCGACCTAGGAGTCCGAGTCTGATATGCGGAGCCGTTTTCCCAATCTTTTCCCCGACTTAGGTACTTCTTTCTTTTGTCCGTTCGAGGACGAACGATTGTTTTAGAGGTGGAGAATGTGACGACCCAAAGGGTCATCACCTGTTTTCTTACTCATCCCGTGCTTCCGAGGCCTGAAAAACCTTATTTAGGGTTGCCTCGATTTGCGTGCGCAGTCCGGGCGCGTAGCCGGAAAGCTTAAATATGAATTCTGTGTGAAAAAAAAACTAAATTTTGATATAAATATGAATATATTTGACTTCGGTCAACATTTTGGGTAAACGGACCCGGACCCGTGATTTGACGGTCCCGGAGGGTCCGTAGAAAAATATGGGACTCGGGCGTATGCCCGGAATCGAAATCCGAGGTCCCGAGCCCGAGAAATGAATTTTTTTGAGAAATTATTTTTCTGAAATTAATATGGAAATTTGAAATGAAAATGCATTAGATAGTGTTGGTATCGGGCCCGT